GGGCACAGGGAATTTGAGAAATGCTTTCTTGTTTGTTCTGGGAATCAAGTGACACTAAATTAATGAAGATAATGGGCTTTGTTTTGTTTTCTTGCGAAACCGCCTGAATTTTTTTTTCTACACAGGATTGCAAATCTGACTGCCCCAATGCAAGAAAAGTAGATTCCAGTTTCAAAATACTGTGAATAAATCTGTCTCTTGTATTTCTTCACCATAAGCACTGACACAGTCCAAACCAGAGTCACGGTCGGAATCTTGACTTCAATTATGTCCTAATTAGGCGAAGGGGTTCGGGGCAACCGCATTAGCATTAGATTGGGTGACGACACTAAAGATGGATTAGGAAAATTTGCTCATCATTTGGCTTCGGAAACATATCATTTGGTCGTTAGGAAAGACACTGGGGCCCCGACATACGGACGATTTGATTTATTGGGAAACTTGGTAACTTAAAATCCTGCCCCGAAGAATTAGAAAATGTTTTGAGATACGGTGCGAAATGGTTTTAAAGGTTTTTTCGGCCTTTGTAAAATAAGAAGTTTTAAAACTTTAGAGAACCTTGTTAAGCTCGAAAAATATAAGTTTTGTTAACTTTTATTTCAAAAAATACTTAAGGACTAACAAACAGAATTCTTTCCATTAAACTTATTTTTATCCTTTTCATACCAAAACGTCAGATTATGTGTGGTTTTCTTTTGCAGATTTTATTTCTGTATCTTGAAGTTCAGGAAATTTTTTTTTCGATTAATTTCAATTGAATATATTCTCATTGAAGTCTAAGGGAAAACATGCGGACATGGGGAGAATAAGGTTCAATTACGTCCACATCTCGGGGCCCCTTTGCGCTGAAGTCCGATTTGATTTTGCGCATCAAGAAAAAAAAAAGTTTGCTCAGGTTATTCATGAATCAAAGCATTAACCCTCTTCGATGAACTCGCCAAAATTTGTGCGAAGAAATATCTCGCAACATTTATTGGCCTACTTGCCCGAAAATGGTAATTTTTATGCCTTTTTCTCCCATTTTACAATTCATGAAAAATCGGTTATCGGGCGATGAAAGGAAGGTAAATTGATGTTTTACAACCCTACGCCTGACCTTAATTTTTATAAAAGGTGATGCCTGTCATACTAGTGGTGAAGTGATGGAAACCGTCAACACATCGGCATCCGGCTTCTGGCCCCGTACGTTCCTCGCGCCCCTGTTTCTGGATTCTGTCAGAATTACATCGGAATGCATTTGAGGCATGCCGCATTGCTTCGCGAACATTAAAATATCGATCCATATTATTTCATGAAATTCGGAAACATTTTGCGCGGGTATTAGCGTGCAGCGGTACAGTACTTTACCTTCAAAGATATAAAATGCACGTCATGGAGTACAGATGGACCCCGGCATAATGCCGACACCCGTGCATGAGGACGATTCGACTTGAGGACGCTAAACTAAAAATCATCCCCAACATCTGGACAATGTCTTGAGACACAGACGCTTTTCCAATGATTTTTCTGAAAAAAAAAGTTCAAAATGGTATTATTCTAAATTTCGAAATGTCGAACAAATTGCTAATTTTGGGCTCCTTTTTTCAGTGTTTTTTTTTTTTTCATCAAGTGTGCACAGTATAGTTATAGATTTCTTCTTTGCTTACTGAGCTCCTTCTGATGCCAAAAAATCAGATTGTGTTTGGTTTTCTTCCGCACGATTATGTTCTGTATCCTGACGGTGAAAAAATTACTCAAATTTTTGAGGACTTCATTCTTAAATTCTGATGAAGAGAAGAATGAAATAAATATATTCACGATGAAGTCTCTGGGAAAACGTGATCCGACGTCGGGACAAGATACAAACACCAATTATGTCCGCATCTCGGAGCTCTACTGTACAATAGAGAACATCTTTTGGATCTCGGCCAATGACTGAAATGATGGGATGGGGATTCAATTTAATCGTGCTTCTTGTTTCGTCGTTCGGCTTTAAAAAAAATACAGAACATTATTTAGCAAACGAAGATACTCTGATAAGACGAGCTTCAAGGAACAAGCAAAAAGAATCGAGTTAGGGAAACAAGCATTTGTGTGGGGGAAAAGACCAAAGAATTGGAGGAAATTGTAATTGTTGATATTATAGGCCTTAAATTGCTTCTTGAGTGAGTTGATGGGATGCTGAACTTATTGGATCCAAGGGTTTATTTGCCCCAATATTCTTTCACTTCCTTTCAAAGTGTTTCAAGTTTTCTTTTGTTTATTCCTTTCCTCTCTCCTGTGCCAATAAACAAATAACCAAAAAGCCTCCAGAAAATTGGAGTTATGGAGGTTTGAGGAGGAAAACCTTTGAATTTGAGAGGTTTTTGTTGCTTGTTCTGAAGGGAATTCAAACAAGGACATTTAATAAAAATTAGACCTGGGGAGATGCCCATGTTCAACTGTATATTCAAGAGATCCAAGCAAGGTTTTCGAAATATTGATCATTGTTTTTCCACTATTCCTTTCTATTACTGTGCTGCATTGCACTGTATTGTACTCAAAGGTTTTCTATTATACTTTAGTTCCACATTGGAATCTCGTTTGACCAATCTTGCGCTCCTGTTTGAATCTCCTGTTGAAATAAACATGTCGATGTTAGTCCACCTTTTATCCAATCTTTTGTATGATGTGGGTAATAAAAAATTGCCTTTGTGCTATTTTGATGAGCGATGATCTCGTCGTTCAGCCGTTCTTGATGAAAGCTTTTCGATGTAACGGTTTTCTTTTGAAATGAATTTTCCCAAACGTTCGGGTCACGAAAATGGTTTAAACGAAATTTCAATGATTTTTTCATGGGCAATTGTCTGAACTGGAGAACTGCAGAACGAATTTTTGGAGAGCCCTCTTGCGGAATTATCGCTGTATTTAAATTGAAGGATTGAATTTGGAACGTTGACCTTGTAAATAGTTATTTATCGTTTGTCATCAGAGATTTATTTCGTCATCGCTCAACAACGGAAACTCCAGTAAAACACAGGTACGGTGCTTAGTCCGATTGAATTCTTATGCTGCTTGAACTTTCAATGAACTTGATTAGATCTTCTGTTGTATTTTCAACCATTTTATTTCAGATCAAAAGTGTAATGCCTGTACAAATAAAACAATAAAGATAAATAATCGAAAATATCGAATATCATGAAGCCAGATGCATGAGGGAATTTTCGCGGAATAAAGCGAGTCAAATTTTTGCCGATGACGGGCTCTATTGTTGACATATTATAATTATGAATCCCCGTAATTTCATTGGTCATTTTAACTTATCTGAGAAAAATTGTCTGTGCAATGTACCTCAACTTCGAGTGATTCAAGGTAATTCTTCTTTTTATGTTAATCGAAGCCTACGTGTCTGTGATCGTGTAATGGATGCTACTTCAAAGTTGTTTGGGTTCTCTCAAGTATTATTCGTTGACAAGAGCTTCTTATTTTAATGTTGTAAAAGCTGCCTTTGTTAAAATGAAAGCTTTGTCACATTTTTTTTTGGAACGCGTTGAAAAGCTATTTTCAATATATACACCCAGGTATTTGAATTTTTTGTAGCACGTGATCAGGTATCACTTTTAGATAGCAAGATATAAACGAAAAAGCGGGGATACAATTGATTTCAGACAACGTTTTCATGGCGAGTTTCCTTCTATAATGGCAATAATGGTTGAAACGTTATTGGTCATGAATGTACCGTACTTCCACCAGTTCTTGTAATTTCGAAAAATTTTGGCGTACATGATTAAACCGCTCCCTTGATGGAACGAATAACGTTCTCCTGTATTTCTCCAACTGATCGATCACTCATTTATTTGCTCAATTTGAGGATGAAATGTGAACATTAACGCCGATTTGGTATCCATTTTCTTTCTTCCATTGGATTGTCCATCTGACGTTTCTATAGTGAACAAGACATATTAGGATATGTGTTGCCGACACGAAGTTCAAGTTTCATTTGCATTCCTTAAAACAAAACAAAATTATATTTTTGAAAAACCAAGCGTAAGATCAGAAGTTGGTTCTTGATTCCATCACATTTTCATGACCAGTTCTAATTATCTTTCGCGGCAGATGGGCGAAGTGATTCTATCTTTCCTGAAAAAAAAGTGCGCGGTGTATTTTTTCCGGAACATTTCTTAAAGCTTTACGGTTAAGGAAGTGGATGGAACGAAAACCGCTGACGTTTCCAGAATTGGATGGAAAACAATCTGGTTTGACTTCGGGGCAACAATATGATTCAGTCACTGCCATGGGATTATTTCTTTCAGGCGCAATGAGAATCATGTTTTTCTGCACGCGAAAACCCAAACTACTGTACTATCGAATGTAGAACGCAGCCTAGCTTTGAAAGCTACGACGGGTTCTACATTTGATGATGTCTGAGATTCATACATACAGAAAAAATCTTATCTTTCAATTTTGAAAGCTAGGATTCGTTCACATTTTCATGGTGTCTTAGATTCGCACATATAGAAAAAAATATCATAGCTTCCAGTATTTAAAGCTAGGAACGTTCTACATTTTATGGTGTCCTATGTTTTTTCGCAGACACAGAAAAAATATCTTCGTCGCTTCTAAAAAAAATAAAATAAAAAACCGATGAATCCGTGGCAGTAACTGAATCATATTGCAACCCCTAAATCCAAGCCAGATCGTTTTCAAATTTTGGAAACGTCAGCGGTTTTCGTGCCGTCCAATTCGTGTTTTTTTTAAGGACGCCTTTTTCCTCTATATATTTTTTCTTCCTTTGACAAAGTACAAAATCTGCTGCTTTCTATCTATGCACTTGAAACTTCATGTTTTTTGTCACACTGGATGCAGAGTTTTTATGGAGTTTCGTCGTTGACAGCTCGTGCTCGAATTGCCATCCGCGTCGTGTTTTTTGTTTGTTGGGAAAGAGCGCCTTTTTCCCTAGTTTTTTTTGCTGTTGGCAGAGTACCAAATCTGCTGCTTTTTGTGGACTTGAAAATTCATGTTGCTTCCCCCCCACCGACTACAGAGGTTTTTTTGAGTGTCGTGTGTGACATCGCGTGCTCAAATTTCGCGTGAATCCGGTCAGTGCGAGTGCGAGCGCGATGGCAGGGGGTTCGGCGGACGTGTCGTCTTCCCGGAACGCGGCCGAGAGCCACCAGTTGCGCGGCGAGGCGGCCGCGGACCGACGAACTGGCTCTCCTCTCGCAGTGTGGACCGCCAGTGTTCCATCTCCGGGCAGCCCGAGCATCCACATCTTCCCGGACGACCACGTTCATCAGCACAGCAATGGACACGCGGCGTCCATGTCCGCGGACGCCGCCGCGACGAAATGCGGAAGCGGAACAGCGGCGGCAGGAGGAGCAACAGCGGCGGCGGCGACTCCCGCTGCTGCTGCGTACCAGCGCATCAAAGATATCTTCCACACGGGGCGCCACATCATCGTCACGAATCTCCCGCAAGACGTCACAGAACAGGTTTGGGATTAGTCTTTTGTCGCTCCAGTACTTGTCGTGTACCGTTTTATTTATTCTTTCATCAAAATTTTTTTTCAATGCGTCGACGGAGAGCCGCATCCGCTGCTAATCTTATCGTCGTGAGACTCTCGGCTCAGTTAATGCTGCTAATTTTCTTCCGAACGCGTTCGTTCGTCGTCGCTTATCGCCTCACGAGAGGAAAACGTTGGGTTGGAGAACTGTTTTTTTTTTTTCGACACTGCGATTTTAACCAAATTATTGCACGAGCCAAAGTGAGAGAAATCACGACAATTACGCAATTTGAGGCAGGATTGCTGATTTCTTTCTTTAAATTTCGCTCGCCTGAAAGCCCGAAATGGAGTATACAAGGGTTGTCCCTTCGGACGTGACCTCTGATATTTTTTAGAGTAGGTGTGATTGTAAAAAAAACAAATCATGACATATCCAATGATGTTCTAAGGCTCTGGGATTTTTTATTTATTTTTAAAACCGTTTTTTATTAATTTATTGCGTGATGATACGTGAGAACTTTCCAGTTACAGCCAGAGTTTTCCACCCCTGTTACAGGACGTTAAAAATTTGTCAGCTGGCTAAAAATTGAAATGTTGTGCTTTTTTTAACCATAATTTTTCTGCATCGTAGGTAATGGTTAAAACCACAAAAAATTCAAATTTTGAGCTGCCCTGACGCATTTTTAGTATCCTGTGATATGGGTGAAGAACTCTGGCTGTAAATGGAAAATTTTCTCGTATCATCACGCAATGAATTTATAAAAAACAAGGTTTTAAATATAAATAAAAAATCCCAGAACCTTAGACCGTCATGGGCTATGTCGTGATTTTATTTTTATTATTTTACAATCACACCTACTCTAAAAAAATATCAGAGGTCGCGTCCGACTGGGACAACCCTCGTATGTATCAGATTTTTGCGCATTGGCCGTGCTGCAGTCTCAAGGGTATGCGTATATGCTGTCTATATTCTAGAAATTATCATGAAAGCTGCAGAAACCATGGGCATTTGCACCTGTGCATATTAAAAATTACTGAACTCGTTTCCTTCTTTTGATGGTGTTCCAAATGTTCCTTGCTCTTATCGGGAATTGATCTCACAGCATCTCTTTTTCTGTACTGCACTCGCGTGTAAAAATAAAAGGCTAACACCCTCTAAGCTCCACTTTTGGTGCATTCTTTCGAAATTCCCTGGTTTGTAGGCCGCACTTCGCTCGAAAATTCTCCATTTTAAGGCATTTACCGACACGGCGATTATTCTCTCTTCTTGCGAAGGTAACAGACTCATAAAACGACGGCGTCGTATTGTATTTTTTCTCTCTTTTATTTCGGTCCTTGTGAATCTGCTTAGATCACGAATGGCCAGTCAAAAAATAAAATTGTTTTTAAAAATACTGTACTGAGATTCCGTCATGAAGACAAATCTTCCCATCGTGTGAAAAGGAAGGAATTTTCGTTCGTGCTTCTGCCGAAGATGCCAGATTTTAGTATTCTTACAGCTCGACACGCCTGTTTTGAGACCGTCGCGTCAAAAATTGTTTCTTTTCGCATTAGAAAAAAAAAATTTCCACCGAAACAAATACAGAACGGTTGGTGCAAAACAATATGAACAACAATTTTCTCATTATCATGATCGAAATTATGAACGTTCACAGAACTTTGGGATATTGATGTACGTCAGGTGACAAGTTTGTGCGTTTCAAATTCAACTTTGCATCAATCGCTCATGTTGAGCACATGTCGCAGAAACGAGTTGAAGTGCAGGATGATAATGATTGAAAATGCTACTAGACTCCCAAAAATTGAAGACATAAAAGAACGATCATCTAGGCGGGAGGAATAAAATTATTTTGAAAGAAACGTGAAACCGCGAGGAAGACTGGGAAAAAATCCTGACATCATCCCAGCAAGTGCCTGGCGCCTGAGAAATGAGAAGATATTTTGAAAAACATTTTAAGGGCGAATCCTGTTTTGATTAAATTACTAAAAATGTAGTAAGAATCGTCGTCCTATGATTAGTTCTTGCTGATTTCGTGCGGATGAGACGTTTCAAAACTGGAAAAGAGCTAATCGTAAAATGAGGGTATCTTTCATTCATCACTGCATCTTGTGGAAATAAAGTAAACATCCACAAATCGGTATACTTCTATTTTCTAAGTATTCTAAAACAATCGTTGCAGAGATAATTTTTCATCGCAAATTACAATTTATTTTTCTTGAAAAGAAACAACCGCTGGTTGTTCTCTAGCAAATATATTTGTCTCTTTCCCTTCAGAACGTGAGCAGCTCGATGAAACCGGGAATTTATCCGTTAGTTTACCATTTATCTTGTTCATAATTCGCCTGTTCATTCCGAAGTTATTACAATGGAATCTCGGGATGTGCTAAAACGATTAAGCAGTGAGAAAATCGATGAACCGTTGTTTCTTGCCTCAAAACCCGCAATTTTCCGGGACGCGATAAAAATGAGAGGCGAGAACGCGCATGATTAACATTAGTGATTCGCAAAGATGGTTTGCGTTTTTCAGGGATTGATTATTTTATTGAGGAAAGGAAATTTGTACAGTTTACAAGTTTGAGACGAGTTTGTTGATAAGTGTTCCTCTTTTGTTTCTACTTCGCCTGCAATTTTTTTATCCGAATCCACAAGACAAAGCAGGCCCTTTATGCGGCGGGCGAAGGAAACCTGCCAATTAATTTAATTGAATTCTCGCCCTAAGGACATTCAGGTGTTATCTTTTTCCTTGTCTCGACTGGGTATACTATAAATCACATGGGACCTCATGAAAAATTGAAAATTCTCTGCGATGATGCGTGAAGTCAAATCTCGAAAATGCTGGTTCTGTTCCCATATGAGCGTGAAGCATTGAAATTCAGGAATTTCATTTCCGTCCCGCCTGGTGCATCAAATGAAGTGGACAATGCGAGCGGAAATTTCTGTACTCTGACCATGAAAAAAATTCAAGTTACTGTATTTTATTCTGATAGAATTTTGCGACGTTTTATTCGGGAAAGTCATATGTGTCCCAGCAAGACAAGGAATAAAATTACGATCTGTTTTTCATGCGTTGATACGACCATTTTTTTATACAGATAATCTGCTACTTTAATAGTATACTATTTGTTTTCAACGTGCTTTTAACAGGAATCCGAAGTACTGTAATGTTATTTTTCAACAGTCGCCCACGAGACAAAAATACTGCAATAATGCGTCTGTTGTGAACTCGAGTGAATTTCATCACATTTTCTCATTCCGTTCGTCGGGTGGATAGGAATGATGCCTTTTTAAAGCTTTAAGATCAAAATAAGATATAATTATGAAAATTGTCTACAGTGTGAACATCATACCGATCGTTGATGGTTTGAGTCATTTTGGAACACATGCCCGAACAAATTTAATGCCAATTAGTTTTAAATGACGTCTATTTGTATGATTATAATTGCTTCTCTGTAACAAGCATGTAGAACTGAAAGCAAGACATTGAAAAGAAAATTTAATGATTTGTCCTAGTTTCGCGCGTTTTTTCAATGATTCAAGAGGTTTAAGGCAGGTTGACCGAATTTTTTTATTTTCTGAGAAGGATGTTTCAGGCTGTCCGAAAGTTTGCCTATTTGTGCTGATGTTTTTTCGGGAAGACGAAAAAGTCCGTGGTGAGAGAATGCAGTTTATCTGTCCCAGTTCTGCGCACCTTTGCCATCCTGGCTCTGTCTTGAACTCTGTGGTGTATCTCTTGGTGAGAGAACAATTTTTTACCGAGCAAGAAAACTCAATAAGTCATTTACCTTGGTACCGGCAGGTGCAGAAAGGTTCTTTAGTCGTCAAAATTTATGCTCACATCTTTAATCTACTTGTTTAAGCTGTAAAAATCCCGGAAAAGGGGGAATATGTTCTCCTTTGTACCCACAGCCACGGAGTCTTGACCTAAAAACAGGATCAAAGTGGGTTTTACATTAAAGAAAAAAAGTGTCGAACTTATTTTTAAAGTACAATTGAGCTTTTCAGTTCATGCAAGGTGACCTTGAGTACTGTATTTATAAATCTATAGGTCCCTGTTGAAGCAGTACATATATTTTTTCAATTACGAAAAACTGCGATTAGGTTTGGATGAAAGTTTAATTCCTTTCCTTTTTAATATTTTTTAAACCAAAAATTACATCAGAAAGGCTGTGGATATTCGGAAAGAAATTCTCTTTTAGGAAATACTTGCCAGAGACAGGATAAAATGCTGTATGTTCAAGATGCAATTATCCAACTATTTCACATGTCAAGCTTTCTTGTTGAATAAGTGATGGTTCTGTGGGCATACGAGACATTGATTTAATTGCTATGCTAAACATTACGTCTGAAAATAATTATCACTTTTTAAATCTAGATGCCGTAAATTGAGAATTTGCGGCTTTCATTAAGTTATTGAAATTAAGTTTTGGATGTATGCATCCTAAGAAGGGAGAAACGGACCTTCTTAAATCAGATTCCAGACTATCAGCCAATTTTCGATGAAGCCGTGTTTTTTTTTTTTTTCATCCGTGGCAATACTTTTTGTTTGACATTTTGTAGCGCGAATTCGCATTTTGGTAGAATTGTTACTTTCCCCGTCTACTTGAGAAGTATTTTGGTTTGTCTTTCTGCATTAAATATTCTTGGTCATCCGGAAGACGGAAACGCATTTTATTATTGTAGTGTAGTACGTGGTACGAGAGTATGCTGAAGATCGCCGGCTTTTCGGTGCCGATGCGTCTTCAACTATCTCTTTTAGTTTATTTTTCTTCTGGTGAGATGACCAGCCAACTTTTGATAACATTACTTTTTGTTTGACATTTTTTGCTCGAATTCGAATTTTTGCTTGGAATAATATTTTTTCCAATTTCTTTAGAAGCATTTCGGTTTGACTTTCTGTATAAAATATTCTGGGCCATCCAGAAGATGGAAACGCATTTATTGTACTGTACGTGGTACTATGCTGAAGTTCGCCGGCTTTTCGGTGCCGATGCGTCTTCAACCATCTCTTCCACTTTATTTTTCTTCTGCGTCGGCGAGGCATTTTTGTCAGCAGTTGAAGGTCGTAATGAAGTTCGTTGGCGTGGCAGTTCACTTCCTACCCTGGCTTCCATAGCAGCATTCACCTGACGAGAATATTCGTCCTCGCCGAGGGACACACGCACGCAGTGGAGAGAGAGAGAGAGAGGGAAAGAAAAAAGAGAAAAGAAAGATAGACTCGCGAAGAATGCGAATTATCATCTCGCTGGCGGCTCTTATTCCTCCATAGAAGAGTCGAGGAGCAGCCCGGCCGAGTGCAGTGCCCTTGGACGAACCCCCGAGGCCGGTTTTCCGCGCTCGGCTGCGTCGGTCATTACCTCATACCTATCATCCCGCCTCGAGGCAAAAAGGAGACAATAAAAACCGCACTCGGGAGAACGGAGGCGTGTATGTATATGGGAATAGAGGAACTGCGGTCAGTGACTTCTACGGCCGAGGAGGAGGAGACGGCCCGACTCGGCTCGTACACGTACAAGGGATGATCCATAAGTTACAAGAAACTCCTAGGCCCTTCCTGGTGGACAAGGCGAGAAATGTGTGTTTCTCTGTACAGCTGAATTGCAGTAAAATGCTTGGGCTACCTTGAAGTTCGCGATGTGTGAAGAACATATATGCTGAAAGCTTAAAATGTTACCCAAGAAGAGTCCACCTTCGACTTCGGAGTTTTTTTTTTAAATTAAGTTTACAGTACTAATTGTGCAAACTGAATATTGAACCCTTGGAAAGGTTATACCGGTTGACTCTCTCTAAAATCCGTCGTGGAGAGAATTTCGTTGTAGACAACACAAATAACATGGAGAGATAACCTTATGGAACCAAAAAAAAAAAATGTTATGCAGAGAAAATCGTTGTGGACAAGATGGTCGTCACTCAGAAAACTTCACTACCAACATGCATGAAGAAATACAGGTGGACTCTCTCTGCAGCGATCTTGTCTACAACGATTTTCTCTGTATAATATGAGGAATTTTTCTTTGGTTCCATACGGTTATCTCCCCGTGTTATTTGTGTTTTCTAAAGCGAAATTCTCTCAACGACGAATTTGAGAGAGTCCACCTGCATTTCTTCATGCATATTGGTAGTGAATTTTTCTGAGTAATTGAAGTTGAAGTGTAATTTCAGATCTTGTATTAATTTTTGTCTTTTTTGATTCATTGGAGGTTTTATTCCTGCAATCTGGTAGGATCTTAGAGCACATCTGAAATTTGAAAATTTTTGAAGGATATACTTCTTGATTTTTGCTTCGTTTTTTGCTTAGCAGAATATCTGAGGAACATTTCGATTTGAAATTTTAATATTTCAAGTAGACATTTTGATGCATCAAGTAGACATTTTGATGCATCAAGTAGAAATTTTGATATTTTCCGTAGAAATGTTGATATATCAAGTAGAAATTTTGATGGTTCAAGTATAAATTCTGATACTGTATTTGAAGAAGAAATTTTGATATTTCAAGTAGAAAATTTGCTTGTTAACGCGGGCAAAGTTTCCACAAATCTGTTTCATCCAATGTTTATATTTCAAATATAAATTTTGATATTTCAAGTACTGTAGTAAGTTTAATGTTTCAAATATCAATTTTTATTTTTCAGGTAGAAATTTTGAAATTTTAAGTGTAAATTTTACTCATCAACATGGGTAAAGGTTCTAAAAATCTATTTTACTACAAGATTTACCACAGGAACTCTGACTGAACATCTTATATTACTATTTGTTGTCGCAGTTAGGTGTGGATTGGTTTACTTATGTACTTGGGTGGGCCAGATTGATTGGGGTTATACTTGCGTATTTTAAATCTCTTTTACTTCACTGAGGTCAGCTAGGACAGTTATGGATTCCAGTACTTTGAAGGTCCAGTCAGTATTATGACGCAGGACAATCAAATCGGACACACCTTCTCCGGTTGCCCATGCAATACCACGAAGTTATTTTGATGGATTATATACGATAACTGTAAAAATAATCTTCGTTTTAATCACCTCATTCTTGACGCGAAAGTCATTAATTTTACCGAATCAACTCGGAAAATAAACCAATGAGGGCTTGAAATGTGTCTCTCCGTGTCCAATGCTGAAGGTCATGCGAGAAACAGGTTTCGAATTTATCTTATTTGGGGAAAAAAGTCACTGGTATTGGCAGGCATTGATATTAAAAACCTCAATGAGTGCTTTTTTCTGCTTCTGAAAGATGAAAAAACAATTCTGTGTGAGTGAATTCAAACTTTTCGCCAAACTTTTGATGCAACCCTCGCACAATGTACACTCGCCTGTGCGGCAGAGCTGACCGAAGTGTGCGAGGATGCGTTTAGAAATTCCTCGCCATTTTCTCGCGATGTTTTCCGTCGAAAGAGACATTTAAACGAAGATTCCTTTTTGCTCATTTTTTTCCTTGTTCTTCTTTCACATGAAAACGATGAGATGCTAGAGAACGCGGAATGCTTCAGTTCCCAGGTTCTCATTTTTCCTGCATTTCTTTTTTTTGTTTTTGTTTTTTCTTCTCCCGCTTTTTTGAATGTATGAGTGTCTTTCAAGTGGTCTCCTGATACAGTTGCAGCTGCTGACGTGGCGTGCATGAAGTCGAGACACAAGAGTACAGCTGGGCCTCTTTTTGAATTCTTCGCAAGCCCAGGTTTTATTCAGCATGAAATTGAAATCGTCGAGTTCATGCACTCTTGAATTACAGTACTTGGAATATTTCGCTTGAAAATTTATTTTGGCAGATTCGTCGGTTTTCTTTTTTCTTTGCGCAGGGCAAGATATCAACTCGCCAAATTTATCTCATGGGGGGAACAAAAATTGGACATTTTTTCAGGTCTGCGCTGAAATAATTTTTGAATACAAGCAGAGAAGAAAAACTTTCTTTCTACCGAGGGTGTGCGAAACTTCAACAGGAAAGCTACATGTTGTCAACGTCGACTTTTTCATTTTTCACTTCGCCATCCTTCAACATTTTTTATTGTCGAAAATTCGAAAAGATTCAAACAGACCCTAATTTCTATTTTAAACATTTAAAAAATTTTGTTGAGCCGACTACGTGACGTAAAAGCTTCGCACTAGCCTTTCAGAATTCTTGTTTGAGCACTAGTCAACTTCCCGTTTAGGTTTTTAATGTTTTCGATGGTCATTTTAATGTTTTCGATGGTCATTAGCATGATGGTCGTGCCAGCGCAATCAAAAACCACGAACTTGGACGTACTGTAATTCGAAAAAATCAATGAACTTCAATATTTCTGTTGCTCAAGGATCATATTTTGGCCAGCTGTTTTTTATTTCACTTTTTTAATGCATGAACGAATGACATTCTCTTATCTAATGCGAAGATTTTGTTCGAAAAAGTGTATTTCTATAATTCTACAGAAATATTTTATAGGGTTGCAGTTGAATATTCGGGTCTTTTCCAGGGTTTATCTGTGACTGGTGAGCAAATTAGTAACCCAATTTTAACATGCTCGTTCTATTTGCCTATTTCTTAGAATACCGTACAGTACTAAGAACTCTATTGAAAATCTTCTCATTATGACTACGATCAAGTATGTTTCTGTGTAAATACAAAGTACTTATGCATCAAAGCGATTATATTTATGGTCCAATAGTTTTCCTCTGGATGTGACGCATGCACGGAAGAGGAAAAGACGAATACTTATTCGAATGAAAGACGTGTGTATTTGTGGAGCATTTGATGAAAGAGTGTTGGTAATTAATTGAACGAATGCGCAGCGATTCTACGCGATGAGCTCCGTTGACGGAGTTTCTGTCACTAGGCAAATAATAGCCAACACTTATGTTATGAAGTCCCATGACAGAATGTCATGGACAAATAAGGTGATTTGATATATGTGCCCCTGTTATCGAAGGAATTGTTGGCAACTATTGATTAATAATCGGAGTACAGTACATTTTTCACTCTGACACCGAGCCATTTTGGGGCAATCGAGTTCCTCAGTCGGGTACCTTTTTGGAGGTGAGAAGTTGGTGATCTTCAGATTTGTAGAGAAATTTAAAATTCAATTCGCATGGATAAGGTGACCACTATTTAATTCATTTACAGTACCTTGATGCGACAAGTTTCGTTTCTTTTAAACCATTTTTGGCATTTTAGGATCCTCCAAGTACTACGGTATACTCCTATTTGTTTAATATTATTTATTCAACTCAAATGTGCGAGATTTCTTCTCTCCGATTGTGATTTCAGCTGGAGTATAATTTTCAAGCGAAAAGAAATCCAACAGCTCTCTCACCGCAAATTTTAAGAAATTTGATGAAATGCATGCTTGAATAATTTAATTGAATAATTAGAATGAAGGTGTTGGACATTTTTTGATCTTCAGCTTTGTATAGAGGAATTTATAATTCAGTTCGCATGAAGAAAATGACTACTATCTAATTCACGCAATTTAATGCGACAAGTTTTGCTCTCTCTCTCTTTTTGCAGTTTTAGGATCTTCTAAGTTCGACAGTTTCCTATTTGTTCAATATTATTAATTCAACTCAAATATACGCTATTTCTGCCCTCCGACTGTGATATCCACTCCAGTATACTTTTCAAAATAGCAAATGTGCAATAGCTCTCTCATCACAAACTTTTTAGAAATTGGATGAAATGAACGCGTAAATAATTTGATCGAAAACCGTAAATAGAATGAAGATGATAGAAGTTGGCGATCTTCAGATTTGTAGAGGAATTTAAAATTCAGTTCGCATAAAGAACATGCCGATTATCCAATTCACGTAATTTGATGTGACAAGTTTTGCTCTCCGTCATTTTTTTGTTGTTGCAGTTTTAGGATCTGCTAAGTGCGACAGTTTCCTATTCATTTAATGTTATTATATTTACCTCAAATATACGCAATTTTTGCCCTCCGACTGCCATTTCCACCCGACGGTACTTTTCAGAAGAGCAGAAATTCAACAGCTCTCTCGCCGCAAATTTTGAGAAATTGAATGAAATGAATGCGTGAATAATTTAATTGAATAAAGAGAATGAAGGTGCGTCTCTCTTGTTAATTGAGCGAGTAATTGACGGGGGTAGACCAGAGAAAGCCGTTAGGGCAGACCTCAGCTGCGATGTGGAAAGGTTTTGTAATTGAGTTGCTTCGCTTTTATTTCTTATTCGCTTAATGAGCTTTATTATTGTTTACTGTACAGATTGGTTTTCAATTTTAGTAATAACAAAAATGGTCTTCGTGGAAGGACTATTCGTGGAATTCACGAACAAAGAAGCACTTTCTGATGCGTTCGAGGTAAGCTAAATTTACAATGCAGAAAATTTACATTTCTGCAACTTCAGAGTGTTCCACGTACCCATTCCGACGGAATAGTGTTGTTCCTGATTCTCGAACACTTCCGTAAATTATTTTCGAAAATTTTCCGCAGAAGCTCGCTGGAAAACGTCGTGTTTTGCACGCGTTTCCCGCTAGATTAAGCAAAAATTCAATGTCGCAGAACTCGTCTTTTTCAAGTACGACAATTCAAGTATTGGCGTACTATGGAGCTGTTCTAAAACTGTGTCTCTGTGCGAGCCAATGTGTCTGATTATCCCGTGGAACATGATCTCGTTATTTTCCGCGAAGATACCATGCACATTTAT